TGACTAGCTGAGACTACAAATACACACCACCACGCCCGGCTAATTTTTTTGTAGAGACGAGGTCTCACTATATTGCTCAGGCTGGTCTCAATCTCCTAGGCTCAAGCAATCCTCCTGCCTCAGCCTTCCAAGTAACTGAGACTACAGGTGCAGGCCACCATGCCCAGCTAATTTTTTAAGTTGCCCAGGCGGGTCTCGAACTCCTGGGCTCCAGCAATCCTCCCGCCTCGACTTCCCAAAGTGCTGGGGTTTCAGGTGTGAGCCACCACACCTGGCCAGGACCCTCTTTAGATATTTTCTTCCTAGTTGCTACCCACGCCAATTAAGTCTTTGTACCACAGATAGACTATGTTTGCTTATGTACTGTGGCTTTTTGGAGGGCCTAAAAGCTATTGTAGTATCTTAGGGATTTTTTCTTTTTTGTCCTCTGAGAAACTATTTTTACCGCCTGGGAGCTACACTGTCCCCACTGAGAATGCAGATGGCGGGGACTCAGAACAGCTGGGAGCCAAGAGGCCCAGGAGGCGAGGCCAGGACCTTGGAGAGCGCCCAAGAAGCCCCCACGGAGAGCACGGCCAAGGCTCCATGCTGCCTGAGGGCATGTCTGCAGGAAGGAGGCGAGAGGGCGGGGTCGGCACACCGGTGCTGGTACTATTTTACAGAATGGTTCAGAAACCATCTGGGTGTGAAGGCTCCAGATTCTGCCTCATAAAAAGTTCTTGGGGGTGGTACTTTGTGAGTGTGGACTTTGATTCTCAGGGTCAAAAGCAGTTAAACGGCCCATCTTCAGGTAGTTTCATGATTTGGGGCCAAGCAGTGTGGCTCATGCCTGTAATCCCAGCACCTTGGGAGGCCGAGGAGGAAGGACTGCTTGAGTCCAGGAGTTCAAGACCAGCCTGGGTAACAGGACCTTGTCTCTACAAAAAAAAAAAAAAATTGCTGGGCATGGTGGCACACACCTGTAGTCCCAGCTACTCAGGAGGCTGAGACGGAAGGGTCGCCTGAGCCCAGCAGGTTGAGGCTGCAGTGAGCAGTGATGGGGCCACTGCACTCCAGCCTGGGTGACAGAGGGAGACCCCGACTCAAAAAGAAAAAAATGATTTCAGTGCTTTGCTGAGCGCCTGCCTCCGCAGGTGCTGGGGCCTCTCAGAGGCTTAAAGGCATCAGGGATTTGCCGGGAGACAGACTGGTCCTCCCGCCCCTGTGCTCCATTGCTGGCTGGGTCCAGGGTGCTGAACCCAGTCTCCTAACATCTGCTGTGAGTTGAAAACAACAGCAGCATAGACCATGTGCTGGACCGACACTCGCTAAGCATCTTTGTGGGCTACTTCCTTGAACCTTCACCACAGTCTTGTCAGGTGGGTCTGACTGTAAGCCAAGGCCAAGCGAGGTTAGCAAGCGTGCTGAGGGTCACCAGCTCATAAGGGGAGCGTCCGACTTGGAGCCCAGACAGTCTGACTTCAGAGCCCACTTGCTGAGCCAGCAGGCTCGGTTGCCATTAGAGTGACTCAGTGACTCTGGTTGGGTTTTTGTGAGGGTTAAAAAACACCCCATTCAGCCGGGTGTGGTGGCTTACACCTGTAATCCCAGCCCTTTGAGAGGTCGAGGTGGAAGGATCACTTGATCCCAGGCGTTTGGGACCAGCCTGGACAACACAGCAAGACTTCCTCTCTACAAAAATAAAATAAAAGTAGGTGGATACGGCGGCATGCACCTGTAGTCCCAGGGACTCAGGAGGCTGAGCTAGGAGAATCATTTGAGTCCAGGAGTTTGTGACCAGCCTGGGCAACATAGCAAGATCCCATCTCTAAACAAACAAACAAAATATCTTATCTCTATGCGTAGTACAATGCCATCATCTCCCCACTGAACTTTTCCCAGAAATACCTCTCAGACACAAGGCCCGGGCAGCTGCCCTCCCCAAGAGAACTCAAATGCATCCTGTTACTTCTATGCTTGTGGCCCCCCAATGGCTCCCGTGGCCACAGGATAAAGTCCAGGCTCCACATCCTGCCTCCTAAGGCCTTCGTGATCTGCTCCTGCTCCTAGCCAGTCTCGTTCTCAAATTCTCTGCCCTGCCACATCGGTACCCTTTAACCAGCCTGTGCCTTCTGTCCCCTCTGGGCCACCTGCTGTCCCCTCGTCCTGAGAACCTCCAGTCCCTTCACCTCCCTTTCAGGGGGCTCCGTCCTCATCATCTGCCAGGTGTCGGCTTAGACATCACATCCTCTGCACGTCCTCGCAGACCCCCCCGATCGTATCCCACAGAGCTAGCAGCCTCGCAGGACTCTGAGCTGGTCAGACCGCCTGGAGCATGTTTTGTCCAGTACCCGGCCTCATAGAGACCAGGTTGGAGACAGGCGACCAAGCTGGGGGCGCTCTGAAGTCAGTTTAGTCCCTGCTAGGCACTGAGTAATGACCTCACAGATACCCTCTCACACAGCCTGTCGGATCTCTAAGTGCAGAGGAGAAGGCTGGGACGCAAAGACGCTAAGCAAACTGCTCAAGGATCCTCAAGGTCAATGGCGGAAATTGCTCGAGGTCCCTCAATGCTCAATAGTGGAAATTGCTCGAGGTTCCTCAAGGTCAACGGTGGAACATGGCATTTGAACTCAAATCTGTGCAAATTCAGAGCCCATGCCTTCTATCTCTGTATAATACCACTTCCGGAAACCGTGTGTGTGTGTGTGTGTGTGTGTGTGTGTGTGTGTGTGTGTGTGTGTGTGTGTATGTGAGAGAGAGAGAGAGAGAGAGAGAAAGAGAGATGGGGAGATGGGAGACAGAGACAGAGACAGGGTCTCACTCTGTCACGTAGGCTGGAGTGCAGTGGGAGATCATAGCTCACTGTAGCCCTGAACTCCTGGTCTCAAGCGATTCTCCCACCTCAGCCTCCCGGGTAGCTGTGACTACAAGCAAACAGCACGACACTTGACTAATTCTAAAATTTTTTGTAGAGATGGGGTCTTGCTGTGTTGCCCAGGCTTGGAAACCATGTTATAGTAAATGGTTTAGTGATAAAACAGAAATTATTTCCCCTGGAGAACAGATGACCAAGAGGAAGCTACAGTCACTCAAATGGTTGAAAGGTTGTCACTTCAGAGAGTAATAGAGAAGCAGATGGCTCAGAAGAAGAAGGAACATTCTGGAAGGTGAGTCCCTGAGGGAAAGACCCAAGAATCGGTCTCCTATGCGTCCCTCAGGCCAATGTCTGGAACAGAAGATGGGGCTTCACAAACGGAAAGAAAGAGAGCTGTCCGTCAGCGGAACAGGAAACAGTGAAGCCCCCATGGACCCTCCCCAGGACGGGCCGATTGGCCGCTTGACAGAGCCCCGGGAGAGGTTTCTGCGTCCTTGACCTGAACGGCCTCCAAAGCCCCTGGCCGCTCAAGGATTCTGTCATTATTATTATTATTTTATTATTTATTATTTAATACAGCGACAAGGTCTTGCTATGCTGCCTAGGCTCCTGGGCTCAAGCAACCCTCCCGCCTCAGCCTCCCAAAGTGCTGGGATGACAAGTGTGAGCCTCTGCACCGGGCCAGATTCTGTAGTGGTCAGACTCGGTGTGTGACTGCCACTTCGGAGGTCACAGATGACCCGTCACGCGCCAGCGCCCTGAGACGACGGAACTGGGCTTCCAAGACCACGCTCCCACCCCATTCCCGCCCCAGACGGAGGAGTTGGAGATGGCTCATGGTAACTCCGGGGAGCAGAAGCGCCCCAAAGGCTGAGCTAAGGACAGAGACATTTCAATTGCGTGTGGACAGCGCCTCTGCCCGTGGGGTTCGCTGCCGTCACGGGACCTGAAAAGGAGATAAACACTCCTCGCTGACAGCTGGCTGAGACCAAAAATCAATATGTCAGCACAGGAATGCCTGCCAGTCATTTGTTTGCCGAAAGGGAATGGGCGCGCCCCGCAACCGAGGACACCGCCCCGGCCGCTGTGCCTCACACGCACGGCACCTCTCCTCTTCGTGTGCCGAGTGGCCGGCGGTCCAGATTGGAGACGCCCCTCTGCCCAGCACAGGGAATCTGACAGATCACACCAGAGTGAGGGCTTTTGGCCCAGCTCTCCCAGGGGGTGCAGGGGGTCGGCTCAAGAGGATAACACCTCCCATCAGCACTCACGCGGCCAGGCTCCCTGATGCCACTTCCGAGAGCTTCAGGCCCCCTTGAAAGAGGACAGGGACCCCTGGGCACGGAGGCACTTCCTGGCACAACCTACAGCTTTCGTGTACACACACACACACACACACACACACACACACACAAGCACCGCTACACACACAATACCAAGGCACCCACAGGCAAGCCGCACTTGCGCCATTTCTGAAAGAAGTAATTCACCAAGGATGGAGCTCTGACCATGACCGCTAGGCCTCACTGCCCTTGACCTGTTTGGTCCAACCACACCATTCCCTGCAGTTCTCTGACTGCGTGTCCCTGCAGTCTGCCTGCCTGTCCTTCCCCTTGCTGCTCTCAGCCCTGGGATCACCCCTGCACCTCGAACCCTCTTCCCAGGCATCTGAGTTCCCAGACCTCCCGACTCTTCGTCTTCCTGCCTCTCAAGAAACACGGATGGGAAATGGTGTCGTGACAATGTAAAGCCCACCACCCTAGTGTTTCCAAACGGAAAGGAGCGATCTTCCGTTCTTGGCAGAAGTGCAGACGCCTCTGCCTGCCAGCGGACAGCAGCGACCGAGCCCGGGGCGGCGCCCTGACCTTACAGCGGGGCTCCCCTGGTCTGTCCCGCAAACATCCCTTTCGCCAACAGCCTTGCCTCCCTCGGCCCTCCTCGACCGACAAGTTCTTTGTAAACGAAGTATCTTAAGCCAGGGAGGTGTGCATAGGGCTCGAATGTTGGCACGGAAGCTGCCAGGACACAGCTGCCGGGACGAGGGACCCGTCCCCCCCATGCTGCCCGCAGAGACACGGACACAGCGATCGTGCGCGCAGAGGCGCCTCGCGGGCAGACGTCTGTGCAGACAAACGCGACTCACAGAGGCAGACGTCTGCCAGGAACACCACGTAGACCAGCAGCTCCCGCAGGGTGGTCTTCACATACAGTGCCTGGTCCTCCGCTGTGTTCTCCGTCAGGGTCGTTCCCCAGAGTCCTGAGGGGAGTTGGAGAGAGGCCTGGGACTCCTGCTGGCAGCGTTCTTCCCAGTTATCTCACCCAGCACCCCTGGTCTTCACCCTGGCCTGTACCCTCGGCCTTCACTCCCGGCCGTCACCCCTGGCTTTCAGCCCCATCCATCCAGCCCTTCCGCGCCCATCACTGTATCCCTTGGCTGGCTTCGACTGGCATACCCACGCCCCGGCCGGCCCTCGGTGATCAGATGCCCCGAGGTAGACAGGGGTGAAGAGGCAAAAGTGAGGCACTTGTTCCAAGTGGAGAGTCAGGGTGTCACTGCATCCAAGCCTCCCTCATGCCCCTGAGGGCCCCCAAATGATGGCCTGGCTGGGCTCCTGCTCCAGCGAACCGCTGGCCGGTGACTCTGGAGCGTGGGGCTCTAACCCAGACGGTCCACACCTCCGGTGTGAGGCCGAACTGCCACCTCCTCTTCAGACCACAGCTCTGCCTCAAAACTGTTGGTGACCCCGTCTTTTTTTTTTAAATTTTATCACCCAGGCTGGAGTGCCAAGGCACAGTCACGGCTCACTGCAGCCTCAAACTCCCAGACTCAGGCTATCCTCCTGCCTCACCCTCCCGAGTACCACTGAGAGGACAGGCGTGGGCCATCAAGCCTGGCTAATGTTTTGACTTTTGTAGAGACGGGGTCTGGCTGTGTTCCTCAGGCTGGTCTTGAACTCCTGGGCTCAAGCCATCCTCTGGCCTCAGCCTCCCAGAGCGCTGACGGGCGGTGACTGACTCTCCCAGGAACACCCTCCCCCCAGGCTGGTACCTCGGATGCTTCGGCAGACGTGGAGGCAGCAGCTGGACCCTCGGGTCCTGCGTGCCTTCCCCTGGGCGTCCTCTTCGGGCTTCTGGGGCCGGGGCGGCGGGGGCACCGTGCTGGACACCGTGCAGATGGTCAGCGGCCCGGGCGGGGACGGGGACCTGCTGTAGGCGGGGTTGTCCCAGGCACCCTGGCCGGGCTTTCCCGGCTCGTGCCTGGGGCTGTCCACAGCCTTCATGGGCACGGAGGGGGTCGGGCGCCCGGGCCCCACTCAGCTGGAGGACGGTGAGCAGAGGCGCAGCCCAGCCCGCTGGCCAGGCCGTCTGGGAACAGCTGCCCCCACCCGGCCTCTGCGCCTGCCTTTGTGGGGGCGACCTGCGTGGGGGAGGAGCCGGCAAGGGCCAGCTCCAGCGATGCAGCGCCTGGCGGGGAGGGCGGGTGGAGGAACAAGTGCCGGGGAGGGGGCGGAGCTCGCGAGGACAGTCCAGAGGTCCGCGGAGATGGACAGGGGAGCGGAAAGGGGGGTGGGCGGGGCCGAGCGCATCCCGAAAACTCCTGAAAGGGCCGCCGTGGATCCTGGGACCCAAGTGGGGTGGGAGACCCAGAGGCTGGCCTCCCTCGGCCCAGACAGTGGGGCGGAGGCCCCTCGGTCTGCCCTTGAGCAGGGGGAGAAGGACGGCTCCTCTTCCCCCCTCCCTCCCCTTTGACGGGATGGTGGCGGGAGAGGGCCTGGCCTCTGATGCTTGCAGATGGCCTCCGACCCCTGAGGGGCAGCAGGAGGGACGCGCAGCCCCAGGTCTGAGTCCCGGGTTGGGAGTCCCAGGTCAGAGTCCCGGGTCAGAGTCCTGGGTCGGAGTCCCAGGGTGGAGTCCCGGGTCGGAGGCTTGCCCTCCCACGGCTCAAGGATGAGGTGCCCAAGAGAACAGGCCTCCTGAGGCCCCAGACTCAGGAAAAGGCTGAGTCCTGACTGGGAGGCTGGGTCGGAGAGCAAGGGACAAGGGCAGCCTGGCCTGGGGCTCCCTGGGGGTGGTGCCTGGGCCTGTCCTTGCTCTGCTTAGACGGGCCCAGCAGGGCAGGCTTGAGCACCGCACGGGAATGTGCGGACACCAGGGTCCAGCTGCTGCTTTGTTTTTTTGAGTTAGGGCCTCACTCTGCGGCCCCCAGGCTGGGGTGCAGTGGCACAATCACGGCTCACGGCAGCCTCGACCTCCGGGGCTCAGGTGGTCCTTCAGCCTCCCATGTAGCTGGGACTATAGGTGCACCACCATGCCCGGCTCATATTTTAATTTTTTGGTAGAGGCACGATCTCCCTATGCTGTCCAGGCTGGTATTGAGCTCCTGGGCTCAAGCGATCCTCCTGCCTCGACCTCCCAAAGAGCTGGGATGACAGGTATGAACGCTGCGCTCCGCTCAATTGGCTTTCTTCATGGTCCCAGGTCTCTGAAGTAAAACCCTGGCCTGGGCTCCCAAGCACACCCTGTTTCTGCCCTGCACTGGCCTGAAGCCCACCTTCACATTCAGTAAAACAGCAGCCTGTCGTAAGTCACCAGTCTTGAGTGTCCCTATAAAGAGATCTTGGTCGGGCATGAGGGTTCACGCCTGTCCTCCCAGCACTTTGGGAGGCAGAAGTGAGAGGATCGCCTGAGCCCGCAGGTTCGAGACCAGCCTGGCCAACTTGGTGAGACCTCGTCTCTACCATAAATCAAAAATTAGCCAGGCATGGTAGTGTGCACCTGTAGCTCCAGCTACTTGGAAGGCTGAGGCAGAAGGATCACTGGAGCCCAGTGGGTCGACACTGGGGTGGCCGTGAGCAGACTACTGCATTCCAGCCTGGGCGATGGAGTGAAACTCTGACCAAAAAAAAAAAAGAGAGAGAGATCTTGGCTGGGAGTGGTGGCTCACGCCTGTCATCCCAGCACTTTGGAAGAACGAGGCAAGAGGATTGCCTGAGCCCACCGGTTCGAGACCAGCCAGGGCAACTTGGCGAGACCTCATCTCTATAATAAATCAAAAAATTAGCCAGGTGTGTTGGCACGCATCTATGGTTCCAGCTATCTGGAAGGCTGAGGCGGAAGGATCACCGGAGCCCTGCAGGTCGACACTGGGGTGGCTGTGAACATGTCACTGCACTCCAGCCTGGGCAACAGAGGAGACGCCAACTCAAAAAAAAAATCTGAAAGCTTGAACTCCTAGAAGTAGAGACTAGCATGGCGGTTCCAGTTCTGGGCCGGCGAGACTCGGCCTGTGGGACACAGTTCCAGACCGACGGAAGGATGAGGCCTGGTAGGCTGGGCACAGCACGGTGACTCTAGTCAATAATAATGCGTTGCACATTTCAAACTAGCTGAAAGAGAGGGTTTGAAATGTTCTCACCACAAAGAAGTGATAGAAATCTGAGGCAATGAATATGCTAATTACTGTGATTTGGTAATTCCTTGAGTCAAGGTCTCACTCTGTCACCCAGGCTAGAGTGCAGTGGCACAATCACAGTTCACCGCAGCCTCAACCTCGCTTAGGCCTCAGCCTCTTGAGTAGCTGGGACTACGGGTGCTTGCCACCATGCCCAGCTAGTCTATATATTTTTTTGTAGAGACGAGGTCGCTATTTTGCCAGGCTGGTCTCAAACTCCTGGGCACAAGCAATCTTCCGGCCTTGGCCTCTCAAAGTGCTGGTGCTGGGATTACAGGCTTGAGCCACCATACCCGGCTAATTCCACAATGTATGCATGTATTAAAATGTCACATTGTGCCCCATAAATATATGCAATTATTATTTGTTAATTAAAAAATAAAATAAGGCCGGGCACAGTGGCTCCTGCCTGTCATCCCAGCACTTTGGGAGGCAGAGGAGAGAGGAATTGCCTGAGTCCAGGGGTTCGAGACCAGCCTGGGCAACTTGGCAAGACCTCGTCTCTGCAATAAATCAAGAAATTAGCTGGGTGTGGTGGTGCACGCCTGTAGTTCTGGCTACTTGGAAGGCTGAGGCGAAAGGAGCTCTGGAGCCCAGCAGGTAGAGGCTGCAGTGACCATGAGCACGCTACTGCACTCCAGCCTGGCCGACGGAGTGAGACTCTGACTCAAAAATTAAAAAACAAAATAAAACCCCCAAAATGAAGCAAATGGAGGCATGAGTAACGAGACGGAGTGCTTAAATGGCATAGACAGCAAACATTGTGAAGTTTAGAGGAAGAGGCAGGCTTCCTGGAGGAAGCGGCCCTGAAACTGGAGTTGAGTGGCCAGGTGAGGTCTGGGAGGGAGATTCCCACCCGGCTTAGGTGGGGAGGCCCAGTGGGAGAGAGGTCGCTTCTAGGCAGAGGTGTGATGGGCGGGTCTTGGAGATTGAGGGTGTCTGTGGTGTGCTTGGTGGTGTAGGAGCCTGGCTCTTCGCGCTGTCGGGAGGCTGAGGCTCAAGGTGAAGGTGAAGCTTGCCCATTGGTTGTTCTGCAGTCAAGGATTTCAGTGACTCTGAGTCCCTTGAGGGACCATGGAAACCGCCAGCTACTCAGAGGGACTTTAAGGAGGTAAAGAAGAGGTGGAGAGGTTCCTTTCTGCTTTCGTTTTTCGAGAAAGCGTCTCACTCTGTCGCCAGGCTGGATTGCAGTGGCGTGATCACAGCTCACTGCAGCCTCCAATTCCTGGGCTCAAGCGGTCCTCCAGCCTCCGCCTCCTGTGCAGCTGCGACCACAAGTGCACCACCACACTTGGCTAATTTAAAAAATGTTTTTGTAGAGACAGGGTCTTGCTACATTGCCCAGGCTGGGTTGGTCTCATGTGATCCTCTTGCCTTGGTCTCCAAAGTATTACGATTATAGGCATGAGCCACCGCAGCCTGCCGGGGGTTCTTCTCATTTGGGGCACTCGTCTAAGATAATTTTTCATGGATAAAGAGAGAAGCAGGCCGGGCACAACAGCTCATGCCTGTCATTCCAGCACTTTGGGAAGAGGAGGTGAGAGGATTGCCTGAACCCAGGGGTTTGAGATCAGCATGATGAGACCTCGCAAAATCATGAAAAATCACAAAAACTAGACAGGCGTGGTGGCGTGTGTCTGTAGTTCCAGCTACGTGGAAGGCTGAGGCAGAAGGATCACCTAAGCCCAGCAGGCCGAGGCTGCGGTGGCCGGGAGCAGCCACTGCACTCCAGTCTGGGCGACAGAGTGAGACTCCAACTCAAAAAAAGAAAAAAAGAAAGCTGAAACCCACCAGTCAAATAGCAACAAGTACATACTTTAATCTTATTTGGACCAAAAACTGCTTAGGTGACGTCCGGGAAAAAATTGTGATCTCTGTATTACTCAGTCAATAAGGAACCAGGATTGGGGTTTGCACACTGGGAAATAAAAAGCCTGTCGTAACCACCTTGGGTGTGCCTGGCTACCAGACACCCGATCTTGTAAGAACACTTTAAAATAAGTCTGGCTTCTGTTGCACTCCGTGTCTGTTTACCCATCTTTTGATTTTGGACGGATGAGACCCAGACTTTTTTTTTTTCTTTTGCGAGTTGGAGTCTCACTCTGTCACCCAGGCTGGAGGGCAGTGGCACGCTCATGGCTACGGCCACCACACCCTCAACCTGCTGGGCTCGGGCAATTCTTCTGCCTCAGCCTTCCAAGTAGCTGGAGCTACAGGTGCACGCCACCACATTCGGCTAATTTTTTGATGTATTGTAGAGATGAGGTCTCGCCAAGTTGCCCAGGTTGGTCTCGAACCCGTGGGCTCAGGCAATTTTCTCACCTCAGCTTTCCAAAGTGCTGGGATTACTGGCTTGAGCCACTGTGCCAGGCCAACCCAGATTTCTTTCAGGCAGTTTGTATAAATATTGCTTCACCCTAGATATGACTTATTGTAAAAGGGATTCTTTTTTTTTTTTTTTTTTTTGAGTCAGAGTTTCACTCTATCACCCAGGCTGGAGTGCAGTGGCTGGATCATGACTGACCACAGCCTCAAACACCTGGACTCAGGCAACCCTCCCGCCTCAGCCTTCGAGTAACTGAGACTACAGCACCACGCCTGGCTAATTTATTTATTTGCTTTTTTGTTTGTTTGTTTGTTTGTTGTGTTGGAGTCTCACTCTGTCACCCAGACTAGAGTGCAATGGCTGCTCCCGGCCACCGCAGCCTCGACCCGCTGGGCTCCGGCGATCCTTCCGCCTCAGCCTTCCAAGTAGCTGGAACTACAGGCGCGCGCTACCACGCCCGGCTAGTTTTTTGATGTATTGTAGAGATGAGGTCTCGCCAAGTT